AAGCCCACCACATGTACTAAGCTCACCTCATTCCAAATACAAGTCCCCCGAATTAATTAATATAAAATTAATTGCTGCTTAATACATGTTTATTTTCCTGTTTATGATTGACTTGTTTATGTCTGACTTGTTTATTACTAACACAAAAGATATTTCCGCGCACCCATGTATTATTATTCTCTATACTAGGAGTTACTATCGCAAGGAAAGTGCTGCCTTTTTTGCCACATGAACTGAATGCAAAACCACTCCAAAGGGGAGCTTACTTTTAACCCAATGAACTTATTCTTAAATTGCGTGCACGGAACATGAGTAAATAACCAACATGAAAAAGTTGCCATTGGGTCAAAAGTGGATAAACGGCATACCCATTAGCTGACAATGCACCCCACTTTAGTATTAACTCTGTCTAACGCCAGACAAATTTACACTTTGTAACGCCAGACGATTTTACTTGTCAGTTGTAGAGTACTGTCAGTATCTGCTAATGTCCCTTATTAACCGCCATTGGCTGGCAATGCGCCATACTTTAATAGTTACTGCCTATCCACTACCTGTAGGAAGCAATTTTGTATTGGGGGAGCTGATTAGTCAGGGGCGATTATTAGGTAATTATATTCCTCTCAGACTTCACAGATTATCGCTAGTTTACAAGTTTTGGTTTTTTTTTGGAGGGGGGCGGGGCTGAAGACCCCAGATCCCCGGTTGCTACGGCCCTGCTATCAACGCCAGACAATTTTACTCGTCAGTGCCAGTAAACGACTTAATTTCTCGTCACCCCAATTTAAATTTTTCTAATTGCAGATTTTAACTTTAAAATATAGATTTTAATTCTGAAAATCAAGATTAAGATATTACAATATATATATTTAAAAAATCTAAATTTACGAAAATATTACTGAAATGTTTCATGTTTGATCAGTAATACCCCCCGCCCCAATCTTGATTCATCCCGTCACTTGATTCATCCCGTCACTTGATTCATCCCGCATCAGACGTTGCTCATTCGTCGTCCTTTTCAAAACCCCAGCACGTCGCTGGAGCCAATATGAGTAAAATACTCCTTGTATTGAAGCGCTTTCGTGTAGGAAGTTTCGTTTGAATAAGGCGAGTAGAAATATTTATTTTGAATTTTTCAAAATATAGGGTTTTTACTCGCACGCACGCGCGCGCCACGTGTATGCTTGGCCATATATAGCCTGATGCACGTGCAAACCATGCCACTGGGAGCACTTTGACTTGTAGAATCGATTTCCGGTTTTTCCAAACCCCTAGGATGTAAACAGCTGTTTTGATGTAGGAACGTTTCACGGGCCCCGCTAAAAATATAAATATTCTGTAAATACCGAAATAAAAGAAAATCTGAAGACACAAGCTTGAAAATAACACTGTGAATAGTGTTTTGGATTCTGGTTCGAATGAGACTATAACGAAAA